TTAATTATAAAAATATATTTTTTAATTTTTCAATTAGTTAATCCATTATATCTATTTATATATACACATTTTTAATTCTTAAACTTCTAAGTTAGAGGATAAAAACATGTATATATTATAAGTTGAAAAACTAAAAATTTGTGTATTTAGACAAACTTAATAAATTAATTAATAGAATGATTAAAAAAATACATTTTTTAAATTAAGGGACCAATAAATTATGTAAAAAAATTAAGGGATAAAAACTATACAAAATCCTAAAATTAAGGGACTAAATTGGCACTTAACCTTTCTAAACTGGGGACACTTTAATCAAAAACAAAGGGACGAGCGCAACAGTGAAGACCCCAAAATTGGTTCTAGTGTACCAACAATTGGGTTTTTGCTCTTCTACTCTTACTTTTCCTTTGTTGGATATGGAATTGTGGTTCATCAGTTTAATCTCAGATTTTATCATGTTTAGTATGAACTAATTTTACCATCTAAGGCTACAATGTAGTCTAGTTAATTTGATATAGAATTTCATGATTTTTATATTTTCAAGGTTTATTATTTTATGTGAAGTATATATCATTGTTCTTAATGCTTTTTAATGATTGGCCTCAATTAAAATTAATTTGGAGAGCATAATTGAGATCGAGAGGAGACTTTATGCAATAACTTCTAGTAATATATACCATGAATTGAACGAAAGTCAGAGATGGACCAACGTGATTTGTGTAGCATTAGTAATAAGTGAACTTAATTTTCTATGTAAACTACAAAATTTCATAAAACATAATGAATCTTTATTTATTTAAATTCACATAGAGATATAGTGGGTTAATAAGTAAAGGTAAGTTTGGTAAAACTTGAGAAAGTATATAGAATAAAATAGGAAATCTCGCTGTCACATGAATAATAAATACATTGAAAGTATATTAATCTAAATTCTATATTAAGTTGACTATGATGAAATTGGATGCCTTAGAATTTTGATTCTTGGTGTTGCTCAAGGTTAATTTAGTTTTTTTCTTTAATTTTGCATTTTTTAGTTAATTACTTTATTCAAATCATTTAGTTTTAATTGTTCAAATAAAATTAGAATTAGTTAATTTTGATACTTAATTAATCTATGGTCTCTATGGGACAATACTCTATTTTCATCATTATATTACTTAAACAGATTACTACACTGGCTAGAGTGGAATTTACCTCATTAGTAACATTGTTATTTGAACTTGAATTAGATTAATTAAACCTTTCTATTCATAGTTTCTTTTACTTAGAAAATTCTTTTAGTTTAAGTAGTTTAACTTTGTTCCATTAATTAGTTAATTCAACTTAGGCTAGATTAATATCATCTTGGTAGTGTAGAATAGTCCTTAAGGGAACAGTATCTTACTTATCTTATACTGCATAATTGATTAAATTCACTTGCTTAAAAGTATTGCATATTTGGTGCATTTGCCAACAAACCTTGTTTAATGTTATCACAAAGTTGGCATGGACTTTGAAATTAGTATTCAAATTTTAAACCTAAGCATGTCTTAAAATTACATTGTTTTAAGGGAACGATATCTTACTCATCTTATACTACATAATCGATTAAGTTCACTTGTTTAAAAGTATTGCATATTTGGTGCACCAGCCAACAAACCTTGTTTAATGTTATCACAAAGTTGGCATGGACTTTGAAATTTGTATTCAAATTTCAAACCTAAGCATGTCTTAAAATTACATTGTTTACAAAGAGATTGTTAAATCATAATTAGTAGAAATTAAAGGTGTTTCATCTAAGATGAATAAAGTCAATGACTACTATTTTGTTTTTATATATTTTCTCATCTCACTTTTTTGTGCATTTAAAGAGAAAAACTTTGAAATTGATATGAAATGAAGTGTAGGAGTTTCCCCAAATATAGTATGAGAGTAGTATAATAACATGTTTACAAGTTTGGAAAAATTGCCTCGCACTCTTGTGGTTAAGAAAATTTGTCTTAGATTTTAGGAGTTAAAGAGATTAAGTTTTCATACTTCAAGTGTGTCAAGTAGTTAAAATCTTGAGTTAATCAAGTTAAAAATTTTAAATTCAAATTTTGAAATAGTTAGGTAAGGACAAAGTGAAAGGGAGGGTGGGTTATTTTTTATTATATTGTATATCATTTAATACACCAAATAAAAAAATGGCTAAACCCATTACTTGCACCTTAGATATTATTCTTTTTTGCAGTTAATATCTTTCATAATTTGAAATCCATAAAAAACCTAAAATTTAATGACTAAACCCTTTATTTGTACCATTACTTTATTGATGATTTTGGGTTTTTTAAGGGTTTCAAATTACAAAGGTTATTGATGAAAATTAAAAATTTTAAAAGGTATTAATCGTACAAGATAATAATATTTATGGTGTAAATAAGATGTTTGACAATAAAAATAAAGAAATTGAACTCCTATATTGAAAATTTAAATGCTGGGATAAGTGAACCAGAAGGAGTTTACGAAAGAAAAGATTATTTTTTGTTATATAGTCTAGTGAAGTTTGAAAAAGTTAAAAAGGTAAAAAAATTAAAAACAAAAAAATTTATATTGGACTCATCCAGGCCCAAAACCATATTTTACAATTTTATCATTTTTATTATTTAGTCCAGTATCATTGGGTTGGAGCATTCATGTAGGCCCGTCTCAGTTAGATCCACGCGGCAAAATTCAGCAAAAGCCCAAAAAAGATTTCAATCTGACGTGGCATGATAAAACAAATAAATAAATATCTCTTTTTCTGTACCCAAAAAATTAAATAAAACAAACATCTGATCAACGAGTCCTTGCGTTTCCTCAAGTTCGTAGCAAAATAGTTCTGAATGGCTATCTCTGCTTCATCCCTTACCCCCAGAACTTGTCCTTGCTTTGTCTATTGAGTCGCTTCGGCCCCAACTCGGAGACCTGGGGTTTGTTGGTGGATTTGAGTGGGATTGGGAGGTCTTGGATACTGTTCGAATGCTAGCGATATGAGACTTGTGGGTAGTGCTTATGGGTTTCTAAAGGAACGAGGGTTCTTGCCCAATTTTGGAAGGTTCAGCGGTATAGGTACTTTTTTTTTTATTAATTCCTGCAAAGGGTGTTCCTTTTATATGTTTTGGTTTTGCCATTTTTTTTTGTCCGCATTCCACAGTTAATGATTTCGCAGTGAACTTGAAAAGGAGTGGGCTTTGCAATTGTCCCTGTAACAACTTTCGTTTCTTCTTGAATGAATGTAGTTCTGCTCTTAACTTCTTCAACATGCACACTTTATGCAGCTCTGGATGGGCCAAGAGACGTTACACCAAGTGTGTTGAAGTCCTCTACTGGTTTAGATAATTAGATGGTACCTTTGTTTTAATTTTTATGAATTTGCCTAAGTTCTTAACGTTGTTGCATCGTCTTGATTTGAACTAGTTTGCATATAGAAGTTTTTGCAGCTTCAGCAGAATGCGTAATTTTAGATAATTTTAGATAATTGGGATTGGAATAATGTATGTCGTTCTATTGTTTTTTGGTTGTTTTACGGTGGTTGGTATTCTAGCAGTTTTTTTTATCTAAGAAATTTAAAGTAAAATTTCATTGAAATAGTTATGGATTACCTTTTCCTCTTTCAGTTTCTAAATTTTCTCCAAAAAAGCGGGGTTCTTCGAGAACCTCAAGCATTGCAGTGGTTGCTCTTCTGGGTAGAGTCTCTTATCTGCTTTCTCAAGGGATTGATGTCAGACCTAACCTTGCTACCATACTGGGCCTAGCCTTTTTAGACTCTTTAACTTCCTTGGCGGTACATGTTTAGCTTTAATCTCTCAAGTTACTGGCCTCCGTATAGGCATCTGATTCTAGTTCATGAAGCAGGCCACCTGCTTGTTGGTATGTAATTCTTGCATTGTTCACTTTAATGTTATTATGGTTTCTTGAATACAAAATCTGAAATATAAATCTCTGCATTCGAACACCTTTTGCAGAGTCATTTCTGCACGTTTAGCAGTGACCAAAAGGCTGATGTTCTCTTTAGTGTCTTCTGGTTCTTTGACAATGATATAGACATATCACATTGGCTTACCAGCGTAGTTAATTGTCTTTTGCTAATTTATTTGCAGCATACCTTATGGGTTGCCCAATTCGTGGAGTGATTTTAGATCCAATTGCTGCAATGCAGATGGACATCCAAGGCAGGTAGTCATTTTGATTTTTTTTTTTTTTTTATTACATGTTGTTCTAAGTATTTTTGTAAAGTCAATCAAATGTGCATACTGTATGCTGTTTGATTCTTAAGCAATATAATCTCTTGTGGACAGCTTTAGTTTATGGAAGTTATAAAGGCCCAAACTCCCCATTTTTCTACAGGCTGGAACTCAGTTTTGGGATGAGAAAATGAGTAATGAGCTGGCTGAAGGACGATCTACCTTCGGCAGGTTGGTATCATGAGGTGGTGTCTGATGTTTGATGCTGCCTAAAGATTTAGATGTTCTTTCCTTAAATGCAGTTTAGCGTCCAAATTATATTTATTTCACTTACTATTTGGAAAATTGGTCAATTTCCTTGTTTCTTTATGGATGTTATTCATCATGTCTTTGATGATCAGTTTTTGGAAATATTGACTGCAAACTCTAAAGAAAATTTCCCAACCTAAATTCCAGTTTCTAATTCTTGTCCCTTCTACTTCTTCCTCTTGTTATTTTTATTTTTATTTTGGTTAAATGCTTAATTTGGTCCCTTAACTTTAAGAAATGAATATTTTTGGTCCCTCAACAATTTTTTGCACTTTTTTGATCCCTCAACTATACAAAATGCACTCCGTTAGTCCTTCTGTTAATTTGAGCCATTAACCCTGCTTAGGTGGCATTTTTTATATTTTTTTTGATGATGTAGAGAGCAAAACTTAAAAAAGTGATGACATGCATCCATGTCATATGCTACCTGGCAAAATCGCGCCAAATACATCCAAATGGGTCCCACATCACCATCTTTGCCCATCAGTTACTGTTTTTCTTCCTTCCATGTTCGACAGAACCCAGCAAATCTGGGTTCGATGGAACCTAGCCATCGAACCCAGCTCGATTCACTGAACTCAATTGCTCAAAAATTCCTCACAACAACCTACAATTGCCCAAAAATCCCTCAAAAACAACAACCTGCAATTGCCCAAAAATCCACAACAACCTGCAATTTGAATAATCTCTTGGCAAACAATCATATAACAAAACAAAAAACCAGTTGCCCAAAAATAACTAACAACAAC